AAACTGCGGCATGCTCGACCAGAGACTCGTTATGCTACACAGAATATAGCACATCAAGAAGATGGTTGCGTGTAAGTTTTATAATCTAGCCGAAAACCTAAAAAATTGTCTTAACTCCCCGAAGTACAAAACACGCTGCCTTTACTGTACCCTTATTAAGGGATCTTATGGCTTAATGCCTATTGAGGCGACAAAAACATGGGAGGGCAAAGAGGGATAAGCGCATATGATTCGCAAAGAGCGCAGTGAGAATCTTAAACGTTTATTTTCTAAGTGGTGGACCTTGAGAAGTGCATGCAAGTTTACTATCAGGCTCGAATTTTGAGGGACTACTTAATACAGATTATTCTTTTAAAATATATTATCTTGAAGCCAGTTATTTTAAGAAATGAACGTTGCTTCAGACCGACAAAGGATTGACTTTATATGCGCATGCTTTCCCGATATAGGTGCATTTTAACAATTTTAGCAAAAATTTAGCATCTTTGGCCGCAATTTTTAGTTATTGACATTTTTGAATGCATTTAAAAATCCCAAATGTTACCAGCTTAGAGAAGGTTGAGACGGATTTCTATGCATTTCTGCGACAGTATTACAACACTGCTATCAGATCGGTTCGCAGATGCGCTATATTATGAGAAAGTCTGACTGAACACGGCCCCATTCTTGACACCTTATTAATCAGTTACCTAAGAAAAGACTCCGTTGCCTTACTTTTTGCTAGGAACTACGTTTGCGTGACTCGGTTTTTTGTTTAAACTTTGGGATCCGATTGCATGAAATTGCCGAACGTTCGCAGTAGTTTGGCCGAATGACGAAGGTTTTATTATGCATATTCAGTGGGAGAAAGTCACTGTAAATCAGGTACTCAGGGAACAGTCCAATCTAATTTACGAAGGTTAAATGAGTCGAAATTATCCTGAAGTAACCACTGTTTCCCAAAAGGCCAAGTTTCTAATGCATAAGCCCGTAAGACTGAAGGCCAAATAGACAGAAACACCGTACAAATGCCGTTTACGGAAATATCTCGACGATTGTATTTCTTCCAGCGTAAACGTTCGGCAAGGTTCAGTCTTCCTGGACGTGAGAGAGAAAGTCGAACAGCCGTTAACAGCTGCAGCCGACCGAAGCTCCAGCTTCCCAGGAGCTGATTGCAGTACTTTCTTTTTGGAATTTTATGTTTTTCGGGCTAAATAGCCACTCCTTTTAATTATATTTCATTTCTTTTCCCTAAGCTCTTGAGAATTCGACGATTTTAATATTTTAATAATTTTTCCTAATTTTTAAATCGAAAAGGGACTGCAGGAACCTCCTATACGGTTTTATATCGTAAAAATATCACATCCTAAACAATAACATCTATTTTCGCATCGTTATTACGTTTACTCGAATGTATAAACGCGTTTTTCTCATACTTTCTTAGCCCTCTCTTCCGAAATAGGCAATTTTAGAACAAGTTGCGATTGTGCCATATATGCTAACTCTAGTTCTCTGGCAAGTTCGATCATAACAACGCTGAATGCTATATACTTAGCAATGTGTCTCTGCAGACTTCTGGCTAGTGCCTGATAATACTTTGCAAATCTACGACCCACTTTCCAATTTGGCTAGAGAAAGTTGCTCAAGTAACCTGGGCCATCAAGAATTCGCTTTCTGGAGATAATCACTTTACAGACAGAATCCTTAAGTGCCTTAACACTCCTTATCGCACCAAAATTAATATTTATTTTCCCGCGTGCCTCCTTATGACATTTAAAGCAATTATTTGAAACTACTAAGGAAACGATGGCACTCCAACATCCAGCGACATGATTTGAAATTAATACTTAAAGCCGCGCGCGTAGGTTTTCATTGGGGTTCCGTTAATCGGAGTTCTGGAGATGAAGCATTTACAATGATGCACAGTTAGCGATTGTCTTGATACAGGGGCTTACCGACAAAGACAAGAGAGATTGGGGATGGACATTCTTGGCTTTTTGACCGTCGTTAACTAGCCTTAATCGACCCCAGGTTTAAGGGCACCTAAGGTTCAAACCCACATTGCCTTTGTTATAAAGGATTTTTAGGCCCAACACTTTAACCACTGAGTCACAGGCTAATCTTATCGATTGCGGTTGGGAATATTAACTATTCTAAAGTGTGTTTCGCCGGTCGCGACAGGGAGCCTGCTCCTCCCATTCTGCTTTTGGGGCTCAATCTAGCGCCCTGCAGGTAGTTTCACAGAGACTAGTAATATAGGTAGAAGGCGATCATTGA